TATAAATATATAAATACAATATGTGAAGACATCTTATTGGTTTTTATTTGAAACAATTTTTAGGCTTGTTTTTGGGTATCTGTGCTGCCTGTAATGTATTGACCTGTTTTATAGGTGCCTTTTTATTAAAAAGACAAATTTCAAAACCTGAACCTGTGCCTGTCTTCAGTGCTCAGCCCATCTCCCAGGAGCTCAGCCAGCATCAGCTGCAGCGGGTTGGGGCTGATCAGAGGGGCTCAGCTCACCCCCACTATAAATACCTCACATCAGGTGGAGGCTCTTTTGGAGAGGAGTGGAGCTCAGCTCTTCTGGGGTGCAGGAATTGTCCGTGCTTAAGGTATGCTGAGACTTGGCCACAGTTTTCTTCCTCTGAAATTCGGACAGCCCTGTCCTAGGGTCGGCTGTTCAGCGCGTGCCACAGTCTGTGCAGGGTGGACAATTTGGCCCTCCTTGGCTACTTGCATGCTGGCCTCCCCAGCGTGGAATGAGACCCAACCATAGAGCTTAGAGGGGTTTGTTACCGTAGGGTGGGTTTTGCTGCCTAAGTACAGGCTGTGCTGTTTGATCTCTGCCCTCCTCCAGCCCTTGTGGCTTGAAATAGACCATCTCTCCTAGCTGTTGTTAACAGGTAAAAGTGGCGAGGCAAACAGCCTAATTTTCTGTTCCTGCCAGCTGCTGGTCCCTGTCTCCGTAACTGTTCCCAACCACATCTGCTCCCAGCCGCTCTGCCCAGCAAGAGAGCTGCAGGGCCCCTGGAAGGGGTGGGTGAGGCACAGGGGCCAGCCCCCCCGAGCCGTGAGTGTGGCTTCCAGTGCTGCTGGTCCCACCTCCTGTGACTTCTAAGTGGTTGCTGCATGCCTCCACGTGAAGAGAAGCTCCTGCCCTTCCTGGGATGTCTTCATGCTCCTTGGAGGAGCTTAACACCTGTGCCTAGTGCAGACCTGTGTGTGAGTTTGTGCCTTGTCTGTAGCAGGCAGTGATTGGGACCTGCTGCTTAAAGCTGGTGGAAGCTGGCTTGGGGACAGGGAATTGCCTTCACAACTGTTGTTGGACAGGATGATCCTCCCAGGTAGGTAGAGGGGCATGCACAGGGCTGGTGGGGGGCCAGGCAGGGCCACTATGGAGGCCTGGGCAGGACCACAGAGCAGAGGAGTGACCTAGAGCAGGGACTTGCTGCCCAAGCTGCTTGCTGGTGCCTTGAGCCCCACAGTTCCCCCTTGTTTTGGGCATCTCGTGGTCTGGCAAAGATTGCATGTGCTATAGCTGCTGCATGCTTGTGGGAAGCCATAGCAAATGCAGAGCACGCTGCCATTGCAGCGGGGAGAGAGGATGGTTCTGAGGGCTTGGACAGGGAAAGGGATCGTGTTGTTGCCTGTGTGCAAAGCTGGGGTGGTGCACGGGGCACGGTGCCCCAAACCCGGGGTCATGAACCTTCATGGCTGTGGTGTCATTTGTCCAGATCCAATCGTGTTCAAAATAAGGAAGACATGGCAGGCAGCAGTACAGATAGTGAAGTGCTCGAGTATCTGTTTGGTTCTAAGAGACTGAGGTGAGGAAGTAGGTTGTCACCTCGGTAAGGAAAATTAAACTGTGAGATTCACAGCAGAGCAGGGGGTGCTGGAGCTGCTAGGAGGGGTGCGAGGGTGTGGGGAGAGCCCCTTGTCTGCAGCGCTCCCAGGCATACGTTCGTTCATGCGTTCCCTGGCTCACGTTCCTCGGTGCACGCTCTGCTGCCCACCACGGCCCCGTCGTCGCTGCGCGTGTGTGGCAGGAGGCTCTGCTGAAACACCCCAGCTCTGTCTCCTGGGAGACTCGGTCGTCCTGTAGGGAATGCAGAGCAGCATGCTGTTGTGGGTGTCTTTTTGTATGCCCTGCTCTGAGGTTGCCTTCAGTGAGGACCAGGCCTTTCTCTGGGTTGTCTGCTTCCAGCCCTGTCTGCAGAGCGCAGCCCAGGGCTGGGGGCGCAGAGCGTGCGCTGTGGATGGTGGTTAACGTGACCTCCCCACACGCCACCTTCCCACTCCCTGCAGGAGCCACCTCGGAGCTCCTCTCGGCTCAGTGCCCCTTCCCAGCAGCCTGGGAACACTGAAACAGTGGGCTGGGGGCCAAGCAGAGCTCCACGGTGGAGCCCAAAGGTCTGCAGTGTTTGTGGGCAGCCTGCTCAGGGCCAAAGCATGTGACAGCCATGCAATCTCAGGGTGATGGGGAGGATTTTGCCGAGTGGAAAGCCCAGCTTCCTCTGTGGTAAAGGACAGTTCCTCTTGAGGAGTTCTCATCACCATTCAGCAGGCTGGCTGCAGTCAGTTGCAGGAGGAGCAATATCTGTTCTTTGGGAAAGGGTCTGCCAGCTCCTAGCTGATCCTTCCCCCAGCTCACTGATCCAAACCTGGGTGCAAGAGTGGCTTTCCACTCAGTAGCTGTAAGTCCAGGGTAGTAGATGCTGCAGTCGGTGGAAGAGGCCCTGTAAAGCAGGGAGCTAATGCAGGTCTGGACTGACCCTGAACGCAGCGGAGCCTTCTGTGGCACTGGTGAAGGGAGTCGGGAGCAAGGTGCTCTTACGAGCCCTGTGGTCTCCATAGGCGAACAGCAACACTTGTCAGAAAGGTGCCACCAGGCCACTTAGTGCTCTCTGATGCGTTTTTTCACTGAAGTGATGTGACTGCAGACAACTGCTCACTGGTGTTATACACAAGAAGACTGTATTTTGTTTAATTGTTTATTACAGCTCACATTAAAACTTTCTGAAAGTTAACCAACATGCCAAATACTAAAAGCTATAGTAAGAATAGATGCATAATCTTTACTTTTATTTTGCGTGCAGTTTTTCTGTTTACCTTGTGAGCCCCATAAGAATTTTATACTCTGAGTGTTCATTTCTTCAGTAATGTTTTTGTGTAGGAACAGAGTTCCCATCAGAACCGGGGCTGGGGGCGGGGGGGGGTGTTTACAATGCCTCTGCAATAGGTTTGCTCACTGGTACGACCATCGATTTAGCAAGGGCAGGCTTCCGATGGTCGCCATTACCTGAAGGTTTTTTTTGGCATTGAAGATGCAGCACTGCAGCAAATGGTGGGCTGAAAAGCCTTATGCTTGGGGAGTTTGCTCCTCACATCACAATTTGGGAGTGAGCTGTTTAGCACTCTGCCTGGGCTGGACCAATGTAACGTGACCCCTTCTATAATGACTGGTCTTTTTAGCAGGGCCCTTGGGTACAGTGAGGTTTGGCTGCAACCAAGCCCTTTGTTAGCTGGCTGAACTTTAGAAGTGAATGTAGCACAGAATTCCTGATGCAGAAGG